AGGTATCCTTATCATTGCCAATCATGGCCTATTTACAGTGGAATATACGCAGCCTCAGAGGTAATTGGGGTGAGCTTCAGATGTTACTCTCCCAGTTTTCCCCTGTTGGTGTTTGCTTACAGGAACCAAAATTACACTCTGCTGTTATCTCTTCCATCTCAGGCTATAATTTATTGTATTCTTCAGATCCTTTTCCTGATGGGACCTTTAATGAAAGTGCCCTTCTTCTACGCACTGATATTCCGTACCATCAGCTATTTGTTCATACCTCGCTGCATTACACAGCAGCCCGTATCCACTTGCATAGGTGGCATACGCTCTGTTCTTTATATCTCTCTTTATATCCATTCCGGATATTGCCTTTCTTGTTTCGTCATTACCGCCACCGATTCTGTTACTTGGCGATTATAATGCCCACCACTTCCTCTGGGGGGGGTCTCGCTGTGATTCCCGTGGCATTCAGTTAGAGACTTTTCTTGCCACCCACCCCCTCCATGTTTTAATTACAGGTACTCACGCCCATTTTGATCCTCGAACTCACACTCTCTCTTGCATCGATCTCTCAGTCTGCTCTTCCTCCGCCGCATTAGACTTCACTTGGTCTGTTCTCCCGGACTTACATGACAGCGATCATTTCCCAATCATTCTTACTTCCCCTTCATATTCACCACCTCTTCGCATCCCACGCTGGCAATTTGAAACCTTTACTCACACCTAACTGTTTTTAGAGAGGTTCCTTCTTCGTCATCCATCGATGAGCTTTTACACCTCTTCTCGTCCTCCGTTTTAACCGCAGCTTCTAATTGTATACCCCAAACTTCGGGCAGGCATTCTCAGAAATGCGTGCCTTGGTGGTCTCCTGCTTGTGCTCGTGCAGTACATTTGAAACGTGCTGCATGGGGCAGGTACCGGTACAATAGAACCGCGGAGAGACTTCTTGATTTTAAGCAAAAGCGTGCAATCGCTCGCCATGTCATCCGTGACGCAAAACACACTTGCTGGCGAGATTATGTCTCCACCATCACCTCTGCTTCCTCTATGAGTACAGTCTGGAAAAAAGTACGAAAACTGAGTGGTAAATATTCTCCTGACCCGGCTCCTGTTTTGCGGGTTGCCGGTATTGATATAGCAAACCCACTAGATGTTGCCAATGAAATTGGCAATCATCTGGTCCGTATTTCTCAGGGACTCCATCTATGCCCCTCGTTTCTTTCCTCAAAGTCTGCCAGAGAGTTAGCACCCTTGGACTTTTCTTCTCTCAGAGAAGAACAGTATAATGTGCCTTTTACACTTCAAGAACTAGAGGCAACACTATCAGCTTGCCGATCATCGGCAGCTGGGCCCAACGACTTTCATATTCGTATGCTACAACATTTACATCAGTCAGCCCTTGCAGTCCTATTACGCCTTTACAATCTTATTTGGTCACAAGGAGTTCTTCCACAGCTTTGGAAATCTGCCATTGTTCTCCCTTTCCGCAAACCAGGCACTACGGGACATGAAGTCTCCCACTATCGTCCCATTGCTCTTACCAGTGCAGTTTGCAAAGTGATGGAACGCCTGGTAAGTAGACATTTAGTGTGGTATTTAGAGACACACAACTGTCTCTCCACTCGTCAATATGGCTTTCGTAAGGGACGTTCTACCATAGACCCCTTACTATGCTTGGATACGTATGTTCGTAATGCCTTTGCGAATAACCACTCAGTTATTGCCATATTTTTTGACCTTGAGAAGGCATATGACATAACTTGGAGGTATAATATTTTAGCCCAAGCCCACTCCTTAGGCCTTCGAGGCAATCTACCATCCTTCCTTAAGAACTTTTTAACTGACAGGCATTTCCGTGTTCGGGTTAATAATGTGCTCTCCCTGGACTTTATCCAAGCTGAAGGTGTCCCCCAGGGATGTGTTCTGAGCACAACACTTTTTCTCCTTGCTATTAATGATTTGGCCTCTAGTCTTCCATCAAATATTTGGTCATTACTCTATGTTGATGACTTCGCTATTGCCTGTGCAGGCGCTGACTGTCACCTCATTACAGTTTCTCTCCAGCATGCGGTCGACCGTGTTTCCAATTGGGCCACCACACATGGGTTTAAATTTTCCAGCACTAAAACCCACCAAATTACTTTCACTAGACGCTCTGTCATCTCCGATCATCCTTTGTACCTCTATGGCTCCCATATCCCTGAACGTGATACAGTCAAGTTTCTGGGCCTCCTCTTTGACTGTAGGTTACCCTGGAAACCTCACATTACCTCTCTGCAGGCAACTTGTCACAGCCGGCTGAACCTTCTTAAAACCCTTGCTCATCTTTCATGGGGAGCTGATCGTCGAACCCTCCTTCGCCTACATTCCACCCTCATTTTATCGAAACTTGATTATGGTGACCAGATCTATTCAGCGGCATCTCCTCCTACTCTCTCTAGCCTTAACCCCATTCATCACCAAGGATTACGTTTATGCCTTGGTGCTTTTCGCTCTTCCCCTGTTGAGAGCCTCTATGCAGAAGCGAACGTTCCATCCTTATCCGATCACCGTGATGCCCATTGCCTTCGCTACTATGTACGCTCTCATGATCTCCGCAATCCTTCCATTTATAGAATGGTCACTGATATTAGTAGACATTCTTTATTTGTTCGCCGCCCCTGTTTACTCCATTCCTTCTCTCTTCGCCTTCATTCACTCTTGTCTTCTCTTCAATTACCACCTTTCTATGTTCATGTAGCATCTCACTTTTCCCTACCCCCCTGGGAAGTTCCAGCTGTTCGAGTCTTGTTCTTTCTCTCTCCCTTGCTCGAAAGCCCAACTGTCTATGGTTGCTTCCCGCTCTCTTTTTCTTGACCACTTCCACTCTCATTCTCATGCCATTGCTGTGTACACAGATGGCTCTAAGTCTTCTGACGGCGTAGGATTCGCAGCAGTGTTTCCGGACAGCGTCGTACGAGGGCATTTACTATCTTCGGCTAGTATTTTTACTGCTGAATTGTATGCCATCCTTGCAGCACTTATCCGTATTGCATCTATGCCTGTGTCATCATTTGTGGTTGTCTCAGACTCCCTTAGTGCTTTACAGGCTATACAGAAATTTGATACACCTCACCCCTTAGTCCTCCGTATCCAACTTTGGCTACGCCGCATCTTTCCCAAGCATAAAGATATTGTTTTTTGTTGGGTCCCTAGTCATGTTGATGTACAGGCCAATGAACAGGCAGACACTGCTGCGCAGTCAGCAGTACATAACCTACCAGTTTCATATAGAGGTATTCCATTTACGGACTATTTTGCTGCAATATCTTCCCACCTTCACACCCGTTGGCAACAACGTTGGTCTACTATGCTCGGCAACAAACTTCAATCTATTAAACCGAGTATAGGTTACTGGCCGTCTTCTTATCACCAGTGTCGAGGTTGGGAGACTACTCTCTCCCATCTTCGCATTGGCCATACTCGTCTTACTCATGGATATCTCATGGAGAGGAGCCCTGCTCCTCTCTGTGAGAATTGCCAAGCTCCATTATCAGTCAGCCACATTCTTTTGGACTGCCCACTTTATCAACGAGCACGCAGAATTTACCTCCGTCGTCATCTACGCTCTGCTGCTCTCTCTTTACCTTCCCTTCTCGCTGATGGACCCACCTTTCATCCGGACTCTCTCATTGACTTTTTGACAACAACTGACTTCCTTCACAAATTCTGATTCCTTCAGCCCTTTCTACTTCAATCTCTTGCTACCCTCTACCCCCGTACTATCCCCTGCCCCGCTGTTTTCTGTAACCTACTGATCATCCCTCCTCCCTTCTGCCACCCAATACCCTCGCTTCCTTCCCTACCCTGCAGCGCTGTATAGCCCTTGTGGCTTAGCGCTTCTTTTTGATTATAATAATTATCTCCTGCCTATCCCTCCGATTACTCTTTATTCCCCAATTATCCATTCATTCCATTACCCACCTATATGACACCATTCAAATAACTAAAGTAGAACCTCCATACAAATAACGGTTCAGAAAAATGGAAAAGGCTCCCCTGAAGAAACTTAAAAGATTTTTGGCAATGTCCTTCAAAAGAATTTTCAGGAACACTGCACTTGCAATATATTCAGGCAATCATGCAAGATCACAAAGTACTGAGTTAGATATAATGTAACCAAATCACTGTCTCAGGCCATACAAAACAGTGTGTAGGGAAATAGAAATATTCATGACCTCTGTCAAACTGGTTCTAGTTACAAGTCATGTCATGCATTATATCCTGTAAAAACCAATTCTTCTTTTTTTCAAAATAAGTACTTTTGTAGTTTTACGATTATCATCCTATATTACAGGTTAGGTAAGATTTGTTAGGAAAAGTGTTTTCTGACACAGGTCTTAGTCATATGATGACCCGCTGTTGGATCTTTTGGTCGTCTGGCCGAGGCCTTCTGCTGGCTTACCGGTCCACCCCTCTAAAAATTACGGTTATGATAATAACCTATATTACAGTTGCACTAGAGTTTAATTCAAATCTTAATCTCTCTCAATTAATCATCTGCTAATTATATGCCACAAATTCCCATGAATAGCTCATTTCAAGTACATAAAATCTGTACCTAACTTTTTATTGTTAAACTGTTAACATTCTTTACTTCTGAAGTACTCATAGTGTATGAACAGCAACTTCATATTATGTATCAGTGTAATTTAGTGTGGATATTTGCTGTTTGGAGGGGCAGCTGAACTATAGTATCTATGTGCCTCTGGCAAGACAATGATAGAGTGAATGATGGCAAGTGTTTCTTTTTCGGGTCACCCTATCTCGATGGGAGACGGCTAGTGTGTAAAAGAAATTAACAAAAACTCAATATAGACTAAATTAAATTAATATGCTCCTCTTAATAAGAAGCTGTTTAATCTTCAGCTGTAAACAGTATTATTATTGTTTGAGTAGCAAGTTATAAAATTTATTTTTAGTATGTGGTGGTGTGCTTACACTCAAATAATTATAAATATTCTCCCCAGGATAATGTGAAGGCAGCTCTACAGAATAAAGGCCTGCGTTCACCTTCACCAGCGCGCAAGGCAATAAGGAGCCCCTCACCAGATAATACTGAACGGCCACCTTCGGTGCCTTCAAGACTTCGCAAGCCACAGCTTAGCCCAACAACTTCTCCAACAAATAATTTACCAGGTACACACCGTCCTCGTCCTTCAGGCAAATTAAATGCACCTGCACCTTCCAATAGTAAGGCTTCTGCAACCAGTCCAACGTCCCCTCGAGGTGGGAATCGTTCTCCTCAGAAAAGTCCTAAAGTTAGTTGTAAGCCTGCTGCCACAGAGGAGCTCAAGCCTCAGCTTCCTGCTAAAACAAGTCAGTCACCAGCTAGACGAGTTCCTGCATCGCCACCAACCACTAATGGCGTAAAAAGTCCCATAAGAGGCACAGACAAAAACTCATCTTCTAGATTGCCCAGACCAGATAATGCCAGTGTAGCCCTTAAGAATAGCCTTAATCAAGAAGTTGCTCCTCTTCAGACATCCTCACCAAAACTCTCGCCTAAAAACAAGATGGTCAATGGGAAGACTCCAAATGGTATGGATCTAGATGATTCTTTAGACTCTGGTAGCTTTGACCAAGATTCATTAGAAGAAGCAGAAGACATCGAGGTAATGCCTCCAGCTTCAAGAGATGCCTTCCGTCGTTTTACAGTAGTAGTTAGTCAATCCCTAAAGTCCTTAACAGAGATGGCAGCAGTTTGCACAGAAGCACAACGTTCTGGAGGTACTGCAACTCAAGATGAAACAAAATTCCAGGAAGCCAGAGAGGCCCTAACAAGTGAATCAAGACAGTTTGTAACAGCTTCCAAATTATTTGTCAAGTCAGCTACAGAATCAGAAGATACTCTATTGCAGTGCCTGGCTACATGTGTAACCCTGATGCAGCGCATGGTGGACGTTACTCAACAAGTGGTACGGCACACAACGACCCCCCTCCAGACGCAAAATGTCGTAGTCAAGGTGAGGGATGTAGCAACCACCTACCAGTCCACTGTACGGGCAGCACTCTCTGCTGCTGGCCGGGGAATGGACCACCCTTCCATGAACACCCTCATGACTCAGGCCACCAACCTGGCTGGTGTACTCACTGCTCTCATGCGTACACTCAGAGTATTTAGTCCATGAGTCCTTAAAAACTATGATTTCTCATATAGTTTCATAGACTTGTGCATTATCATATTTTAATTAATATTTAAAGTAAATGACTATAAAAATTGCCACTGACAGTGCAATGGATGGAAACTTACAAAAAGTACTTAATGTATTTACACGTTTGTAGATATAGAAGTAGCAACAAATGATATGCATAATGTCAACCATTTTAGCCTGACCAGTTTCTGTAAATAATGATAGAAATCTCAGGTATTATGAAGAGTTTGGAGAACAGGAGCATCAGCGCACCAGCTGAAAACGCAAGCCTTTAGGACGGGTGATCAAGTTGGGACAGTTGGAGGGTAACCTAACCATTAATAGAGTTGTATATTTCAATACAATGATACAAGATAATTGTGTGTATAATGCCTAACTTGCCCAGTCTTGCATTTGAAGATAACTTTCAAAGTGTATGTTTGTATCTCAAATGTACTTATCAGTGATTATTTGAGTTATTTTTTTATTACAAGTTTGTCATGATTTGGAACTGTTGTCTTTTTTATTTTATTTGTATTTGTTATGTACCAGTAACTCAAACATTTCTTCTATTTTCACACTAATCTAAAAATCATTTGAGTCCCACACTTGTGTCCCTCTGTTGATGTATATAATGTCTGTACAGCAAAATAACCTTGTGACATGTCAGCCCCCAGTTAGGAGTTGTAATTCAGTGTTTTTTTAGTGTAACTGCTGTATTTTATGCTAAATATAGTGTTACAGAGTATATTATGGATTTATCTCTATCCTTCTGTGCATAGTCATGTGCAATGTACTGTACATATGATTAATACAGGTCCATAACACAATATATGTCTGATATGTATGCTATTTCACTTTAAAAATAAAAAGATATATCACAGTATATAGTCTACTTTCACAAGAAAAATTCTTAAATGTTATATAGTAATGTTAATTATTTGAAAAAGACATTGCAGTTAACACATTGTACACACAAGGTACACATTTATAGATACTGTACAATATATAAAAAAAATTTTGAGTGTGTCTATCCAATGTTTTACTGAGCTGGCATGAACCTCGCTGCAGTAGTTAAGTCAGCACTGAATAGCCCACAAAGGTTCAGCACTATCATTCAGGATATGTCTGGTGCATCCAACAAAATCAGCAGACTCTTGTAAGTCACTACCACCCAGCTCTGGCTGGGAGGTTAAATCACCACCACCAGATGATGTAACCCCTACTAAATGTAAACACTCCCAAATATCCTCAGTAGCATATTACCAACCCTTCTAGAAAAATACCCTGACTTTGCTCACTGTAAATAATGCATAACCACTTAAACTATATTACGAGCATACCTTGCTAAAATACAAGCTTCGTAATATTTTTGTGGCCTAATTAATTTCTGCATAAATATCTCGTAACAATTGTAATTAGATATAAACGTATAAATAGTTCATTACCACTAACTTTTTTAGCTATCAAAACTTAGCACCCCAGTTCCTGGACCCATTATGTGCCTCTGTAATCTTTTTGATTAATGCCACAGGCATAATAAACTATACTCACATAAGTCTAGGGGAATTATTATAATCAAAAAGAAGCACTAAACCTACAAGGGTCATACAGATGCCTTCAGTTCAAACAATTATTATTGTGGGGGAGCACTAAACCCATAAAAATTATGCAGTGCCTGTGGGGGGGGGGTTATGGAAGGCATTCAGACTCGATTCTGGAAACTGGAGCACAGACTGAATTCCCTAGATCAAGAGCCCCTCACCAGCATCAATGAATTTTTCTTGAGGGGAAGTTCAGACAATAGATTAGAGTTAAACCACCTGTACACAAAAATAGCTATTTTGTCTCTATGTAAGTATTCATAGTATACACATATGGTAATTATTCTGGCCATAAGCACCTAGGAATGCAAACTTCCCTATCATGGGTCATGGGAACCACATTATATATCTAGCTTGGACCTCAGTGCCACAAGCCACATGGTTAACCATACTAAGAACCTTTTCTCCATTTTCATTAATCCATCTATGATATTTTCTTCAAAATTATACAACACGTTACATATTAAATAACAATGGTTATAAATGACCATAATTTTTAAAAGGGGTGGACCGGTAAGCCAGTGGAAGGCCTCGGTCAGATGACCAAAAGCTCCAAAGGCGGGTCATCATCTGACTAAGACCCGCGTCAGGAAACATTTGTCCTGTTTCCTGACGAACCTTACCTAACCTAACCTAACACGTTACATAGCGTATAAATATGCCTTTGTTACTAGTTCACTCAGAGGGTCCCTCAAGGCTTAACGCCATAGTAATACGTACTAATAGTACGTAATAATAATCACTCTTGGGCATATTAAATGTCTTATTTTATGTTAATATAGACATTTTCATTAATCCATCTATATTTTCTTCAAAATTATGTAAGAAACACGTTACGCAGCATATAAACATGCAATGTTTATATGCAGTGGAGGGTAAACATTACGTTTTCTCTGGTCCAGCATTAGAGAAAACTGTATGAATCTGCATTGGCCCAGTAACCGCCCTTTATACATAAACGTTTGTTTACAATTCTTCGCATGAATTATTCATTACTTCTCCTTTTGTTTATGATGGCATCTTAAATTCAGTGAACATGGAATGTCGATAGCAACATATGGCTGCAGGCCACAGTGTATGTAGCCAGTAGGTACACACTGGAATGTAGTCTGCCTGGGACTACAAATAAATACTACTCACCAAGAAGAGTCTTCAGTTAAGATATGTAGTGTTCACTTATCATTAAGTCATTTATGTTCATTTCTCATTATTTTCTGTATGAAAAATTAGTTATTCTCTATAAAATGTATTTTTTGTTAATACTTTTGGGTGTCTGAAATGGATTAATTGGATTTACATTATTTCTTATGGGAAATATTGCTTCAGTTTTCAGCCATTTTGGATTTTGGCCAACCTTCTGGAACAGATTTATTACGAAAATTGGGGGTCTACTGTAGTTTATTAATATACATTTGCTTCCCCTCCAGAACACAACAACTTTTTAGTATTAATAATAATAGACTTTTAAAGTATTGCGACACTTAGTTCTATAAATGGTGGCCGCTAACACCTTTATTCTTTCATCCACACCCACCTCCCTCACACCCACCTCCCTCACACCCACCTCCCTCACACCCACCTCCCTCACACCCACCTCCCTCACACCCACCTCCCTCACACCCACCTCCCTCACACCCACCTCCCTCATGGCCCAAGACGTATAAATAAAATCAGTGACCACATACGCAACCGCATTCACCACCATCTGACTCATCCCACCTATATCTAAACTTAACACCCTTAACACCTGTAAACCCTTCCCCACCCACTAACCTAACTACCCTACCTAACCATACCCTCACAGCTTCTAAACAATTACAAAAATACACCGCATGAAAAATAGTCTCCGAACATCCACACGCTTTGCACTCCCCACCCTCCCTTAGTCTCCTATTAAATAACACAACACCAGACGGCAAGATTCCATGTAGAAACCTAAACATTACCTCCCTTACACCTGGTTTAATACGCAATTGCCGTAAACATTTCCAGATATTCCCCCACGTATACATGGGGTATGCCCCCTCAACTCCCGCCACCACAGACCCGCCCCCCACCCTCTCAAGAATCCTCAATTTAAGGCGCTTCGGATCCCTCACCGTCATTAAAACCCTCAACATGGCCCCACCATCGTTGCATATCCATACGCAGTTTTTCTAGCCCCCCTCTCCTCGCCCCCACCTCCCTCAAATACCCTCGTTTTAGATACACACTCATCATACGCTTTTCTAAAGGTATAAGCCCCAGCCCCCCGTGGCTAACGGGAAGCATCACCACCCCCTACTTAGCCAGTCACAACCCGATCCCCATATAAATCTGAAAATCCCATGTTGCAACCGTTGCACCTCTCACCGCCTCAGTGGGTATATTGCCACCACGTGCCATATCTTACTATACAACAGGACGTTCATCACAATGACCCTCTGATGCAACGTTAGCTGCTGCCGTCCTCAAACCACCCAATCTTTTCAATACCCCATCCACAGGGGCGTCATCGAATTTACCTCTTGTGCGACCCTATCATTCTTAGCGTACACTATCCCACAAATCAATAGCTGATCCACCACACACACCCCCGCGCCCTACAGTCCCCACCTCTATTTTACGTTATTGCCTAGGTCCATATACTTAGACTTTGCCACATAATTTCCATCCCAATAGCCTCGCCAAACACATCCTACCGGCCTTTCCTACCTTGTGTAAATCCTTCTCATCCTCACCAATACAGTTGTGTCATCCACATAACCCACAATCCCCGGCTGACCCCTCGTTCATTACAAACCCCTCCACTTGCGATACTCCACCTAACTGCCCTATAAAAGGGATCCTGGAGGCACGCAAACAATAGTTTGCGATAGAGGGCAACCCTGTCGCAAAACCCCTTCCCATCTGATGTTAAACACCTAGCCTTCCATTAACCTGTACTCTCACAGATGCTCCCTGATACAATGTTTTACGCCCAAGATATAATTTCCTTCCCGAATCCTGCCAACGCATGAACCTCCATAATGCATCCCTCTCCACACTATCGTAAGCAGCTCGTCAATCCAATGCCAACACACCCCCACCCCCCAACTCCCCCTCTGTTCTATAAAACTTCTAAGAAACTCCATGCCCTCATACATTGTCCTACCCGGTACCCCATATTGTCCTCTGTCAATTACGTTTACCTATCACCTTTTTTATTCTATTCCCTAATATCCGTGCAAATAACATTATAAATCGCCACACATAAGCGATATTGCTCGTAATCCTCTACCGTAGTCTGTCACCTTTCGGAACTAATACCACGACAGCAGTCCTTTGCTGCTCCCCCATTTCCCCCATCATCCTTCATACATTGAATAACCTAACTAAAAATTCCTCTCAATACTTCCCAATTCCTAACGTAAAAATCATTAGGCAACCCATCTACACCTGGCGCCTTACCTAAACTTGCACCAGACAAAGCGTGCGAAATCTCACTTTCCGTGATCGGACCTTCTAATGTTACCCTATCTATACCATCAATCTCACATTGCACGAAATCTCCCATTTCCTTTAAAGCCTCATCTCGAATACCTCCGTTTTGTGCATATGACCTAAACCATGCATCTAGAAAACCACTCATATCCCTCTGTCATCACTAATACCTGCCCCTCTCTATACCCTTCCATCCCCACATGAACAGTTAATCCCATCATCTCCGTCGCCACTCTTCTCTTACGCTGTCTCCTCAACACGCATTGCCGAAGGCCTGTCACCCATAACACCTCTTCCAGCCCACCCAAAACTCAAGCGCGCCATCAAATCTTTCATTTTGCAAATCCTGATACGCTTCTTTAATCCTCAATATCGTCCACCGGATAACTAGCACTCCCACGCTCGTAGCAAGCTCTCAACTGCCCCTCAAGATAAGATTGGTACCCATACTTCAACTGTTATATTCCCTCCCACTACGAATATAAAAATTCTTAATACGAGATTTCGCCACATCCCACCAACTAACCAGTTCACTATTCCCAGGCGCCTCCGCCACCAACTCCTCCCCACAATTGAACAAATGACTGTCGAGACTCTTCTTCCTGCAACAACTTTACATTCAACTTCCAAAACCCCTTACACCTTCTTGGCAACCCCTCCCAACCTATATCCACCAAAACACCCCTGTGATCAGAAAATACTATCGTCCATTACCCTCACACTATGTATTACGACTGTCCTAGGCACGTAAATCGATCGAGCCTAGCCGCATACCCACGCTTAATAAATGTGTGCTCCACCACCTCACCATCCCTCAACATCTGTCAATCCTACCCCGGATAACAATTCTCCCAATTATCCTCAAACATACCCTGCCCCCCTCGGTTCAACATCCTTACTCCTTATCACACAGTTCCAGTCACCTCCTATCACAGCAACCCCGGCAATCCACGCAAATAATATACCAGAACGTCCCTCACGAATTTATTCTTTATTCTCACATCTCCTCTGCTGGGCCATACACACACACCAACGTCATCTGTACCTGACCCCATAACCCATCCACACGAATCACCCTCCCCTCTCCCCCCTCACTATGCCTGACAACCAACGGGCTAGTTTCTTTCACCAAAATGGCCACACCTCCTTTCAATCTGACGCATGCTCAACATACACATTATACCCCATCCACCTTCAACTCATAACCCGGTCTATAATTGTGTTCCTGCAAGAACACAACGTCAACATCATGACGCACCAAATATTCCCTAAACCACTCACACTTTCTCTGAGACCTCAAGCTATTGATGTTCAATGTCAGGCACTTAAAACCGACAAAGGGGGTTTCCCTCTTGACACTACCGACTTATCACCTGATCGTTTCATTGCACCTTTTTCCCTCCCCTCCCCCCCTTTCTGGCCACCCTTACGCAACCCCTGCCCCTGGGCGCCACTTGAACCTCTCCGCATGGCTTCCGCCCATGTTTTCTTCCCAGGTCGTTATGCGGGCGTAAGCACGTCGTCGGAATCAGAAAGCACTGCTGCGTGCTTTCGCGTCGTACCCTCGACCTGCATCAAGTCATCCAGCTCAGTGCCATGATGAACCTCCACCTCCACAGTTCTCACCAACTGGGCATCCTTACGACACACTTCAGGCCGGGCTGGCATCACCACGCCCTCCTCAACTGCAGACCCATGATCCAGGTCTGTACCAACATCCTGACAAGGACTCTCATTACCCAAAATGTTCTCAAACGTCGACACTATCGTCTTTTCCGCGTCGCTACCATTCGCTTCCGCGATGACCTCGTCCAGCACTTGTACAACGTCCAGGGAAGTGATGTCGTCCTCCCGAGTAGCCCCATGCCATTCTCCTTTTCTTCGGCCCTCTCAACCTCCTCACTCCATGTCAAACTCTGCTGAGGCAGAGTCGAAAACAGTTGATCTTGATCCTCTCTCCTTTCCTCCACATCTCGTCGTTGCTGCTGGTCCTTATCACCACGTCTTCTTTCACATTGTGCAGCCAGGTGATCATACGACCCGCACAAACGGCAAGTGCTTCGCTGCCCAGCGTATGTTACAAAAACCTGAGTCCTGAAATCTTCCATCACCACGTACGATGGAATTGGATGTCTGAGCGTCATCTTGACAGAGAATGCACCCTCAGGTATCCCCATATACGGGCCAGCTGACCACCTTTCTGCAGTGATCGTATGTATTGTGCCGTATTTACACATAATGAACCGGATGTCAGATGCATCCGCCTCGAACGGCACATTCCTGATCTTAACCCATGTGTAATAGCTGGACAATCATGCAGCCTCACCGTCACAGCATGATTAACTGGTATGGCCACCTCTTGAAACTTATTCACAACTGCCTCATACACAGTCGCCGAACTAAATTTTACAAAAATCCTCTTCGTACCGTTCAGTGCCAGTCCACAAATCTCATCATTAGCTATTCCGTAGGTATCTCTGACGATTGCAGGCAAAAGCAACTCCATTGATGGCCCCGTTACAGCTCCACTGGTTAATTCAATGCAGACAGTATTTACCCTGCGCCGGCGAGCCTGCGCCATGTTGGTGAAAATAATACTGCCACCAGACAACTCCAGGGGGCAGCAGCAGCACACGTCCTCTCCACTCAAGGGTTGAAAGACGAATGTGACTCTACTGATCGGCTTCAAACCTTCAATACTGATGTGCGTTACTTAAAGCTTCAAATTATTATTCCTGAGCCTTTTAAGGTTGTTAATGTATAACTCCTGGGCATTGTGAGTGACACTGTCTTACAGATGGTTAACTTATCAATACGTAGGCAGTGTGCCTTTAACACTAAGTACAGTCTACCGCAATATTTAATACAGAATATAATAAACCTAACCTTCCCTTGGATAAAAACTATATACCCTCTCGTTACCCCAGTAGCTTATGACCAGTACAGGTTTAGCGCTTCCCCATGAATATAAAAAGTTACTATTGTGAAGGGAAATGGGTGGGCAGTGGAAACAACGAGTCTGAACGTGGCTATGTGTGTATGTATTATGTAGCAATTGGCTGATGACGTGTAAAACACCTGTGTGTTCCTTACACCTGTGCTGCGTCTCGGCTACAGGTGTTTACGTGCCAGAAATAAACTAAAATCACTTAGAATAGGAAACTACCGACTGATGAGTGCAGCTACGTAAAGCTGTACGTTAAACAATTGAGGCAAAGCCTTGACAAGACCACTAGACGTTATCTACACTGCCTGTTACACGCTAGGGAGATCAAGTGGGGGTAACAGGAAGGGGGTGAAAGTGGTGGCAACAAGTGACTTAGAGGTGTGTCTGTGTGTATGCGGGTGTTGGTTGTGACAACAGCAACAACTGGTGATGCCTGAGGCAGGCAGCAAGTCTCTCCTAGTGCAAGACTCAACACAACACAAGACCTGGATCACCTTCCCCACATTACGTAAGTTACACCTCAATTACCACATAGCAGTTATCAGTCAAGAATATTTTAACCCCTAAAACAGGGATTAAACTTTTAACATACACTCAGACACACACCTTTCTGTCTATATTAGCTACATGTGACGTACTGAAATATTCTTATATTAAACAGGTAGCAATAAATCCGTAGGGCTCATTCAGCGCCTGGGGAATTATCTGATATTAATGGAAGTAAAACTGTCATACACGTCATACAACCTGACCAGTTTTAAAACCTTGGTGACCTCACCTACCCAACCAACCCGACAAAAAATAACAAATTTATTACATTACTAGTACACTGTGCATTATTATTATTGTATTATTATTATGTATTATTATTATTGCTTTTTATGTTCGAACCCATATTTTATTAAAATCTTAGGAATTTTAAATCTTGTCACATAATACCATTTACAATGGATACGTGTAACAAATATAAGAATAATTCGCACCTTAAGATAAATATATTGAAGACGACAGGAATTTTGATTATATCGTTTGCCTTTAAAATTGATTTTAACATTTTTCATAGGCAGTAAATGTTTCGTAAGCGCTTAGCTTACTGTATACAGCTATTACATAATATAGCCCTGAATACAACGCCTAGGTGGTGGGGTAAGTGGTGGTAATTAGGTGTGATCCGAGGAAGGGAAGATCAGCTCAAATTGATTAGATCAAGAGCCCTTTCGGTGGTGGGATAGTTCAATATTTTCACTCGTGTATAGTGGAATTCCTGCGTGGAAGCTTTAGTTAGCGTGTTGAGTGCGTTACTAGGAGCGACACTGTGGCTGTGTACTGTATCGTCCTGTACTTGGTGACACGTGGCTGTATACTGTGTCGTCCTGTACTGGGTGACAAGTAGCAGTGTATTGTATCGTCCTGTACTGGGTGACAAGTAGCAGTGTATTGTATCGTCCTGTACTGGGTGACAAGTAGCAGTGTATTGTATCGTCCTGTACTGGATGACAAGTAGCAGTGTATTGTATCGTCCTGTACTGGGTGACAAGTAGCAGTGTATTGTATCGTCCTGTACTGGGTGACAAGTAGCAGTGTATTGTATCGTCCTGTACTGGGTGACAAGTAGCAGTGTATTGTATCGTCCTGTACTGGGTGACAAGTAGCAGTGTATTGTATCGTCCTGTACTGGGTGACAAGTAGCAGTGTATTGTATCGTCCTGTACTGGGTGACAAGTAGCAGTGTATTGTATCGTCCTGTACTGGGTGACAAGTAGCAGTGTATTGTATCGTCCTGTACTGGGTGACAAGTAGCAGTGTATTGTATCGTCCTGTACTGGGTGACAAGTAGCAGTGTATTGTATCGTCCTGTACTGGGTGACAAGTAGCAGTGTATTGAATCGTCCTGTACTGGGTGACAAGTAGCAGTGTATTGTATCGTCCTGTACTGGGTGACAAGTAGCAGTGTATTGTATCGTCCTGTACTGGGTGACAAGTAGCAGTGTATTGAATCGTCCTGTACTGGGTGACAAGTAGCAGTGTATTGTATCGTCCTGTACTGGGTGACAAGTAGCAGTGTATTGTATCGTCCTGTACTGGGTGACAAGTAGCAGTGTATTGTATCGTCCTGTACTGGGTGACAAGTAGCAGTGTATTGTATCGTCCTGTACTGGGTGACAAGTAGCAGTGTATTGTATCGTCCTGTACTGGGTGACAAGTAGCAGTGTATTGTATCGTCCTGTACTGGGTGACAAGTAGCAGTGTATTGTATCGTCCTGTACTGGGTGACAAGTAGCAGTGTATTGTATCGTCCTGTACTGGGTGACAAGTAGCAGTGTATTGTATCGTCCTGTACTGGGTGACAAGTAGCAGTGTATTGTATTGTCCTGTACTGGGTGACAAGTAGCAGTGTATTGTATCGTCCTGTACTGGGTGACAAGTAGCAGTGTATTGTATCGTCCTGTACTGGGTGACAAGTAGCAGTGTATTGTATCGTCCTGTACTGGGTGACAAGTAGCAGTGTATTGTATCGTCCTGTACTGGGTGACAAGTAGCAGTGTATTGTATCGTCCTGTACTGGGTGACAAGTAGCAGTGTACTGTATCGTCCTGTACTGGGTGACAAGTAGCAGTGTATTGTATCGTCCTGTACTGGGTGACACGTAGCAGTGTATTGTATCGTCCTGTACTGGGTGACACGTAGCGGCGTATTGTATCGTCCTGTACTGACACGTGGCGGTGCACTGTGCCATCCTGTACTGGGTGACACGCAGCACTGTGCCATCCTGTACTGGGTGACACGCAGCACTGTACTGCATTTTGTACAGGAGGATAAGTAGCACTGAACTGTACTCATCTGTTTGTGGTTGCAGGGGTCGATTCACAGCTCCTGACTCAGTTCGTCGTCCTGTGCTGAGGGCGACACATGTCCGCGTAACGATGTTTCTGTCCTAAATAACGCTGTCAATGACTGCTCTAGTCACGAACCCCTTTAAAATACCCTAATGAATCATAAAACACGCTAGTGCTACTTGTAAAGCACCTCTAAAATCCTCCAGAACCTTCCTAAAGCATCCTAGTTCCCGATAAAGCTACCCAGGACATCCCTAAAACACCCTATCTCCCGATAAAGCGGTCCAGAGCCTCCATAAAACCTCCGCAAAGTGCATTAAAGCCCGATAAAGCACCCAAAAAAACCTTGGGGCAATTTCCTAAATCTTCCCTTACATCCCCATCTTAAACATTTTTAACCACCCATTATACGTTTGTTTGTGCTGGGAAGATGGGTGTACACACCACCACCAGTGTTGGTGGATGATGGTGAAGGCACAGCACCAGCAGGAGTGGGGAATGTCCCGTGGCTCTGTTGACAGCGCACTCGACTCACACACTAAGTGTCCGTGGTTCTATCCCCGGCGTGGGTGGAAATCTTGAGCATGTTTCCTTACACTTTCTGGCCTTGTTCACCTAGCAAGCAAGTAGGTATCTGGGTGTTAGTCCACTGGTGTGGGTGGCATCCTGGAGGGACAAAATTAAAGGACCACAATGGAAATAAGACGCCACTGGGTGGCTATCCCTCCCCTGGGTTAAAAATCCGAGCAAATCTTACTTCTTATCTTATGGTGAGGAACTCATCACTGTTGTGGGGGTGAGTAATGTCAAAACAGAATTATCAAATGTGTTGGTGAGGAAACGGCGTTACCAGTGATGGTGGAGGAATCACCGCCAGTGGTGGTGGGGCAACACAAGCTCTATCAACAGTGTTTTTCAGATGGTGTGTAGATAGGGAGATAACCAAGATTAAACGATAAGAAGCAATAGTTGACAAGCGAGTTGGTCAATGCTTTCCCAGAACACTCAAAGGTTTTCTCTAGTCACTGTTGTCTGGTCTAGGACCAGGCCGCGGGGGCGGTGATCCTTGGAAGAGACCATAGGTATTGTTTAAGGACTTTAAAGAGAAATTCAGTGAGTCTAACCTAGTTTCCATCAAATAGGAATCTATAGGGAGCCCCACCACACTGAAGCCAGGTCATGAACCTGGCCAAGGGGGCGCTGACCCCCGAACACCCTCCAGGTATACCCCCACAACCAAAACATTACTCCCACATGCGTATCTTTACTAAGAAATGTTTCGCCCACCAGGGAACTTTATCAATTTGATACAGATATAAAAACAAAACCATTTATAGTGAAGCCAGTGGAATGAGTGGGGAGATGCAGCAGCTGTAGACGTGGCTACATGTGGGTGGGGCCCAGTAGTAGAAGATCCGGATCATAAGGTGGGCCAGAGATTTATCAATGGATTTGTAGAAGATATTCAATGTACCAGGATTCTACGGCGTTACTGTGTCTCACAAGTTCTTTCAGAGCATAAGTATGTAATACTTACATATGAATAAAACATATGTGGAACACCTCGGTATATTACTGAGAGATGTTTCGTTCACCAGGGGCTTTAATAATCTAATACAGAGACAATTCTTGGCCTACCTTATAAACATGACTTAACTTCCATTAGCGGTCCCTGCCCACATGTGACCACATCTGCTACTGCTGTACCACTCCAATTCTGCTAGCTCTACTTTAAAACTGTGTTCTTGCCTCTGTTAAACTAGTACAGAGCCCTAGTGGGCGAAACATATCTTAGCAAAGTTGTTGCACATTGTGGTTGCACAATGTGTTGCACATTGTGACAAGCTAAGAGTACCTTACATTTTATTCGGCGTATGTCACACACCCATACAGGTATGCTCTCCTGACCAGTTAACCAGATGCTAAGAGTATAATGAGCAGGGGCCCCCTTGTTATGCTAGCATCTTGGTTCAACCAGTCAGTGGCAAGGAAGCCCGCCAAAGTTGTGAAGCGATGTGGTACACTTTTGAATCAACATTGGCAGACTTACCATCAAGTCTGCTCGAAGGCAGTTCTCACCGTGTCGCTTGCATGCATTGCCTTTCTCTATATATCCTTTGTAAATATTGTACATATAAGTGCTTGATTTTTGGTGAAGGAAATATATACAAGTATTTACTCTCCACTGCCTTTTGCTCGTTTCTCGTTTCTACCTTGGTTATCGTGCTACAACCAGGTGTGCAGGCCACTAGACTATACACCCCTGTTCGTAATACACATGTATTATATACCGCTGATTTAATGTTATCCCTCACTACAAAATCTACCCACCACCTGAGATTGCAGGGGTCGAGTCCAAGCTCCTGTGTGTTTACCTGGAGTTTACCTGGAGAGAGTTCCGGGGGTCAACGCCCCCGCGGCCCGGTCTGTGACCAGGCCTCCTGGTGGATCAGAGCCTGATCAACCGGGCTGTTGCTGCTGGCTGCACGCAAACCAACGTACGAGCCACAGCCCGGCTGATCAGGAACTGACTTTAGGTGCTTGTCCAGTGCTTGTGTGTGTGTGTGTGTGTGTGTGTGTGTGTGTGTGTGTGTGTGTGTGTTTGTGTGTTAGTTACCATTTGCCCTAGGCACATGTCGATTAACACTAGGCCTGTTGTATTTGCGAGTGTGTGTGTGTGTGTGTATGAGTGTGTGTGTGTGTATGAGTGGGTGTGTGTGTGTACTCACCTATTTGTACTCACCTATTTGTGGTTGCAGGGGTCGAGTCTTAGCCCTGGCCCCGCCTCTTCACCGGGTTTTGCTCTTCACCGGATAGAGTGTGTGTGTGTGTATGAGTTTGTGTATGTGTGTGTGTGTGTGTGTATGTGTGTGTGTGTGAATTTGTATATGTATGGTGTGTGTGTGTGTGTGTGTGTGTGTATGTGAATTTGTATGTGTGTGTGTGACTCAATCAATATTTGCACCAATAACTCACTACAGTTGTGACCGGGTGTGGAAGTGTGAATTGCTTATTACTCTATAATTTGTTCATGATTGTAGCCATGTATAAACGTAAGTAACCATTCTTACAGGATTCATTACCATCACAACTTTGGGGCCCAGTCCCTGGACCCATTACGTACCTCTGTAATCTGTAAATACCTTTGTAACTTGTCATGATTGTGACTAGACCTACCCGGAGTTCATTACCTTTGTAATTTGTGAGTTCATTACCTTTGTAAATTGTGAATTCATTACCTCTGTAACTTGCTCAGCTATCAAAACTTTGGAGTCCAGTCCCTGGACCCATTATGTACCTCTGTAATCTTTTGACTACCGCCCACAGGATGGGTATGGGGTGCATAATAAACATATTAAACTAACTAACACCTGAACACAATATAACCCCCACCACAATATCTCCCACCCCATACCAAGGCAGTACGACCACCACAATAACTCAACCCACAACCACAAGAGCCACCACCACAAAACTTCTGATGTATGCGAAACACAAACCTCCACTACAAAGGAACACGCTGAAGGCCACCACATTAACATAGTTAATAAAGCTGTACACTTGATTAACAACCAGGTATACATGCATTTTCAGTGCATACACATTTAAACGTTTCATACACTCATCAGAATATGCATTAAGTCAGAGTTATCTTACAGTATTAAACCTGGAAGGTAGAGAGAATATTTATATACAACACACACATTTTACCATCTTAAACGGAACAAAGAAAATAAAGCTGAGCAAAAGAGAAAAGAATTTAGACATGAAATTTCAAAACAAGAGGAAAGGTCTGGCTGAAATAGAGAGCCGTCTAAACAAGCCATGTATTATTATATTTATGAGGAAGTGCTGAGCCCGTAAGGAGCGGGTACATAGCCAGGAAAATAGGTAACAATGATAGATACGAGGAAGGGCAGCTCCTGTTACTTGGATAGAGTCCTTCACACGGTAGATGATGATAAGGAGTTTGAGGTAATCAGTCCCTCAGTCTGGAGTCGATGTACTCAGTCCATCCATCTTGAGAATAGTACAGCACATGCGCAATGCTATGCTTTTCTCACGATTGATGGACTGAACACATCGACTCCAGGCTGAGGGACTGATTACCCCAAACTCTTCCTCATCTTTCACCGTTCTGTCCTGTAACGGACAGAGAAAGTCACTGGTTGGCGAAACGTTTTCGTAATAAAGATTCCCAAATGTTGCACAAGTGTCTCATTCTTCAACGTGTCGCTTTTCTAAACCATTTACGCCAGACCTTCACCACCTCCAAGACAACGCTGCAGGAGGAAGCTGTGTTAAAAGAAGCAGTGTGCTCGCTCAAGCAGAAAGTTACTGTGTTCTTTTGTATTTTGTATAAAGTGTAATAATTCACGCCTCATTTTTCGTCTTTTTTTTTTACAGTGTACGAAAAGTTGGGCAAGACGATGAAAATATCAGTGAACAGTGGTGAGTCGCGCTTACATGTACACTGCAATTTCCTATCATTGTGATGGTGAAGGCTTGTCTCTATAAACTTAGTACGTGCTCTATCTTTATCCGCGAGTTTGACTGAGATGGCGATTATATTTGCTTGATTTCTCTTTCCTCCTGTTATTTATCTTCTAAACCAGGAGTCCCCAACCTGTGGCCCATCTAGAAAATGGATGTGGCCTTCACATTAAATTATGAATTGACTTTTATGTAGGTTCAGCACTGCACAGTGTCGACAGTTATAAAATATTTAAAGCCATTTTACACCAAAACCTTATCGTCATCTCGAGCAACCACCTTTCACTTCTGGTGCGCATGATTTATGTGGATATAACCGGCAACTTCGGCCCTCCTCTACATTAGGCTTTTCAGATTGGCCCTTTCATACTAAAAGATTGGGACTACTGCTTTAAACCAGCTTCTCTTGAAAACATACATACACTGTATACACAGAGAGGTGTATGGCTTTCAGGTATATTTCCTACGAGTTTACTTTAATCCCTATTTAAGAGAATAAAATACTCTTGACTGATAGTGTACAGGTTACATACAGCCTCTGATGTCTTGTGTAGTGGATGGGCTTGAAGCTAAGTAAATCAACACACTGGTGAGGATGCACTGGGAGAAATAAAGCTGGAGACGCTGTTGCAGTCCCTTGGTCGGCTCGAGAGAAAATGTTTGTCAGTGTTAATCTTCCCACACATATCACTGTCAACACAGTAGGCACGTATATCACTGTCAACACAGTAGACACATGTATCACTGTCAACACAGTAGACGTGTATCACTCAACACAGTAGACACGTGTATCACTGTCAACACAGTAGACACGTGTATCGCTGTCAACACAGTAGACACGTATATCACTGTCAACACAGTAGACACTATCACTGTCAACACAGTAGACACGTGTATCACTCAACACAGTAGACATGTGTATCACTGTCAACACAGTAGACACGTGTATCACTGTCAACACAGACACGTGCATCACTGTCAACACAGTAGATACGTGCCGCAAAATGCCCTTCTCACACTATACCACTCATTTATCCATACCTCACCTATGCTATTTGTGCTTGGGGATCAACTGCAGCAACACACCTAAAGCCAATAATAACCCAACAAAAAGCTGCAGTAAGAATAATCACCAAATCCCATCCCTGGCAACACCCCCCCCCCCCACTCTTCATAGATCTAAACTTACTCCCTGTTCAGTACATCCACACTTACTACTGTGCAATCTACATCTACAGGACCTTAAACTCCAGTATCAACCTTGACCTAAAACGCTTTCTTGATAGTTGTGACAGAACCCACAGGCATAACACCAGACACAAACATCTCTACGACATTCCCCGTGTCCGACTAAACCTTTACAAAAATTCAATGTATGTCAAAGGCCCTAAAATCTGGAACACCCTACCTGAGAACTCTAGAACTGCAGACACATTCATCACCTTCAAAACTACCATTAGAAAACATCTTATCTCCCTGATACACCCCATCAACTAACTACACGAATACCACCTGGTGGTTCACACTTACACTCACTCACCCATTTGACCATAAACAGAAATATTAATCTCAATCTTAAAGTAATAAATCCTGTGATACTCCAATACTGAAACTATGTACTGTGCCAAAACAGAAGCATTCACATTGCTAAACTCACAAACTAGTATTTAGTCACAGCCATAATACCAACTTACCTCATAATTTGTAATATTTTAAAATTAAGAATTAAACTAAGTCTGCCTGAAATGCCTAGCCATGCTAGGTGTTCTAGTGGTACACTCTGTAATCATTATTTAACTACATGTAAACCACACAATAACCAAATTCTGTAAACTTAGCATTGTAATCCTTATAGAGAATAAACTTTGAATTGAACTGAACACAGCAGACACGTGTATCACTGTCAACACAGCAGACACGTGTATCACTGTCAACACAGCAGACACGTGTATCACTGTCAACACAGCAGACACGTGTATCACTGTCAACACAGCAGACACGTGTATCACTGTCAACACAGCAGACACGTGTATCACTGTCAACACAGCAGACACGTGTATCACTGTCAACACAGCAGACACGTGTATCACTGTCAACACAGCAGACACGTGTATCACTGTCAACACAGCAGACACGTGTATCACTGTCAACACAGCAGACACGTGTATCACTGTCAACACAGCAGACACGTGTATCACTGTCAACACAGCAGACACGTGTATCACTGTCAACACAGCAGACACGTGTATCACTGTCAACACAGCAGACACGTGTATCACTGTCAACGCAGCAGATACGTGTATCACTGTCAACACAGCAGACACGTGTATCACTGTCAACACAGCAGACACGTGTATCACTGTCAACGCAGCAGATACGTGTATCACTGTCAACACAGCAGACACGTGTATCACTGTCAACACAGCAGACACGTGTATCACTGTCAACACAGCAGACACGTGTATCACTGTCAACGCAGCAGACACGTGTATCACTGTCAACACAGCAGACACGTGTATCACTGTCAACACAGCAGACGCGTGTATCACTGTCAACACAGTAGACACATGCATCACTGCCGGGAGGTACTTCAGGGATTGGTCCCCAACCTGCACGCTGACACAACAACTTGCTGGAGTGAGAGATACAAGGGACAGTGTGGAACACCCAGTAAAGAGCAGGGAGGTCATAGATACAACTAAAGAAGTGTCAGCCTCCATGGTCCAACGTTCTTCAACATACTACCAGCAGATATTAGAAATACTGCCAGAACGAAGACAGAAGTTTGCATCTGCTACAAGCTGGACAGTTCCCTCCGACTACCTGGCCGAACAGACAGTCAAAAGAGAAGTCTAACGTCTGGCACGTCTGCCCAAACTGAAGAACCCTCGACATCAGTCACAGGTAAAGCACAACAAGACAGAGCTTATTCTCGAACGCCAGAAGTTACAAGCTACCAAACTTCAAGGTAAACGACCAAAATATCGACGTCTCTAACAGTATAAAAAGCTCGGAGCAGGTAGCAATTATAGTTTGTCTATTCGGCATGCTTAAGTGATCTGGATGCGATGTCGCAATGTTTCAAGGACGCCATTGGAAATAAGCCACTCGATTTTTTTTGGGTTATCCTAGGTAATTTACACGTGTTAGTATGATAATTTGTGTAACTGTGTATATGTACTTCTGCCTAAAACTTAAGTTAGAGGCTAGAGTGCCTGAAATCCCTGGCTGGATGGAAGACTGACATTAATATTAAATACGATAGATTATTTTAAATAATATATGCTACAGCCATGATTGAATATTAGCTGTTCCTCTGCAACTGGAATGGTGTAAATATTGGTATGGTGTAAATATTGGTATGGTAAAGTAAATAACACTTAGGCACCGTGAATAATTTCATCACCTACTGCATCTAGTGATGATTTACGCCACCGGCGCACCTAACCTCCCAAGGAACACCTCCAGAAATTTGCTGATTGGCTCTGGGACTCGGGCTGCGGCCTAAGTGCCTGAAGTGGCTCGAGTGGAGCACTTTTGAGAGTTGAAAACTTCATACCAGCGATAACACCGGCCCAGACACCACTTGAATAGAAGACGTGCTGTATCCTAACTACAGGGCGTCCGCCACGACTGTAGCTAACTGCTACACCACTTGTGCTGAAGAAGACTCACCGTGCCCCTGCCATAGGGCTGTAAACGGTACATCAACTTGTACAATCTACAACACTCCTTCGGGAGCCACTGCTTCAGCTTCATATCGTTACAGACCATGGAGCTGAACTTGTCTCCAGGCTGAGGGACTGACCACCTCAAATACTGTTTTTCCAAGATTGATGGACTGATTACATCATCTTCATTTCACTACTACGCCTGCTGCCTCTATTTGACTGAAGAAGCCAACTGTGTAGGCGAAAAGTTTCAACAATAGAGAGACCCAACTGTTGCACATGTCTTAATTATCGTACTGGCCGTTCTAACCATCCATCTTCTGGCTCCCCACGTTCCCCTGACATCACAACTTCACAATTATTGTGAACGTTTGTGAAGGACTAGGTTTTCCATATGCCAGCAGCTGACGTTGTAACATTGTGTGCTTGAAAAGTTACACCCGGTTGATGACATTAGATGTGTTAGGGGCCACTAGAGGTGTTTACCTGGAGTTTACTTGGAGAGAGTTCCGGGGGTCAACGCCCCCGCGGCCCGGTCTGTGACCAGGCCTACTGGTGGATCAGAGCCTGATCAACCAGGCTGTTACTGCTGGCTGCACGCAAACCAACGTACGAGCCACAGCCCGGCTGGTCAGGAACCGACTTCAGGTGCTTGTCCAGTGCCAGCTTGAAGACTGCCAGGGGTCTGTTGGTAATCCCCCTTATGTATGCTGGGAGGCAGTTGAACAGTCTTGGGCCCCTGACACTTATTGTATGGTCTCTTAACGTGCTAGTGACACCCCTGCTTTTCATTGGGGGATGTTGCATCGTCTGCCAAGTCTTTTGCTTTCGTAGTGAGTGATTTTCGTGTGCAAGTTCGGTACTAGTCCCTCTAGTATTTTCCAGGTGTATATAATCACGTATCTCTCCCGCCTGCGTTCCAGGGAATACAGGTTTAGGAACCTCAAGCACTCCCAGTAATTGAGGTGTTTTATCTCCGTTATGCGCGCCGTGAAGGTTCTCTGTACATTTTCTAGGTCAGCAATTTCACCTGCCTTGAAAGTTGCTGTTAGAGTGCAGCAATATTCCAGCCTAGATAGAACAAGTGACCTGAAGAGTGTCATCATGGGCTTGGCCTCCCTAGTTTTGAAGGTTCTCATTATCCATCCTGTCATTTTTCTAGCAGATGCGATTGATACAATGTTATGGTCCTTGAAGGTGAGATCCTCCGACATGATCACTTCCCGGTCTTCGACGTTGGTGTTTCGCTCTATTTTGTGGCCAGAATTTGTTTTGTACTCTGATGAA